AACCAGGAAGTGGGCCAGAGTTTGCTGACTGTGGTCCTAGAGACTTGTTTAATAAGTCTGCCTAAGGGTAGGGTCCTCTGTCTTAAGGAATGTAATTGTGTTGGCTTACGGTTTGTTGATTGGGCCCAGACTCTGAAGTTAGATGTCACTTGTGGATGATTGAAATTACAAAGCCAGAGGTAACAGTTATGTTGCACTTATAACCAATTTTAACCCTAACTTATTGATCTTATTTAAGCGTTCTTGCTTTATTGACTCTGCATATTTTGACTCGTATTCTCCTGTGACCCAGTTTTACCATCCTGCTGGTCCCTTCATTAATGAGCAAAGTAAATAGTTTATACACACTGCACATTTGTGTAAGAGTCACGTTTGACAATATGATCAGCACTGGATCAGAAGTACGTAGGAGATGCTATGAAACCTCAGAATTAGGACATCAGATTCTGGCAATCCAGTTGGGACAGTGAGGGGCCAGGGGGGATGTTGACCATGGAGGCTTCCCAAGGGCCCAGATGTCCTCTAGATGCCAAAGGAGTTTGCCAGTTGCATAGAGCAGGGGAGGAAGGAGCAGACAAGTTTCTGAGCGAGGGAAGAGCATGTGCAAGGGGACAGGTGTTGGAGACCACATGATACCTTCAGGTAATGACAAACTGGGCCTGCGGGAAAGTGCAGGCAGAGCCAAATGGAGCCATGTGGTGCCCGCTTGAGGTCACCAATAATTTGGCACCAGTTTTAATCACCTTCTCTCAAAAAGAGAGACCGAGCACTGGATGAGAAGGGCAGGGAAGTTTGACCTTGGCTGCCAGCCTGTCATTTGCCATTGTCCCAATCCTTCGGGCTCTAGTCCTGAAACTGTGGATTATACTCAGCAAAACAAAAGCTCTGCAGTTCATCACATATTCCCTTCTTAGCAGGCAGTGTGATGGCATCTCTGGGAGAACGGCCTCAGGCCTTCAGAACTCTCCAGGGAAACACCTCCATCCCAGAGGTTCTCCCAGGCAGGGAAGGATGAGGTGGAGATTCTGTTCTGCTGGCCCCCTCGTTTCCTAGCAGTATAACCACTTCCCAGTGAGGCCCATGTTATCAGAGGAACTAGATTAGCCTTGCTACCTCTTGCTGCCCTTTTTCCTCGGGCTCCTGCTCTCCCAGTGCCCGTGGATGCCTCTGTCTCACTGGGCAGCATCTCAGGCCTTGCCAATTCTCTTCTGTTCCTCTTGGTCCTATGGGTGGAATGAGCCTTGAATCCCAGACCCTGCGGGAGCCCCTGTGGCCAAGAGCACTCCCTGGTGCTCGGTGCTCGGTGCCCGCAGGGAAGCCCCTGGGCCCCAGATGAACGCCTCTGGGCCAGCACAGCAACCAGACAGACAGAACGGAAGCATGCTGGGCATCGAGGCACATGCAGGAGGGCAAGGAGCACCCTGCAGAGCCCCCACCGCAGGACCTCAGCGTTGCTCCACCTTGTTTATTTCTCCCTTGGGAAGCTCACAACAGGCATCCAGGGTGGGAAGGGTGGGGCTGGAGGGGCAGGCAGGGGAGAGAGGAGTCGCTTTGCAAAGGTGAATCAGTATCCACAACTCTGCCTCGGGGACTTGGAGAATAAATGAAACCCACTGTGTGTCTGTTTCCCCTTCACACATGCACAGATCAGGCAAGGAAACGAAAGGCACACAGAGCAGCCCATGCCACAGAGCCCACGGTGGAGCTGGCTGCCCGGGCCAGGCACCCACGGTGGTCACTGGACACCCTGACTCGAGCTCTTTCCTTAGCATGTAAACATGGGGTTGTGTGAAACATAAAATATCTTGAATCAGCTGGCCTAACTGAAGTCATATCCTTTTCTTCTCTTTTTTCCCTTTTTTAAAAAACCAAAAATAGTGCAGTGTGGCTTAATATCTAGAGGTTTCATTGTACTTAGGTGACCCCCCACCCCAGTCACCTTCAACCCTGAAACCACTAACGCATGTCCTGGGGCCCACATCGAACAGGGCGTCCCTTTCTACTCAGTAAAATTCCACTGGAAAATGTGAAGCTCAGTACTCCCCGCCCCAACACCTGACCCCAGCTGCCCGCCAACCCCTTCTCTTCCCCCAGGTCCCTGCTCAGGCACCCAGGGTCCTCCTCTCTGAAGCTGAGCACATTCTGCATCCTTCGCCTCTCCTCTTTGCGGCTGTGCATGTTTTTCCTTCCCTTAAGGTCCTGTGAGCTGTGCTGAGCTGTGACTAGCATTCTGGGCAACCTCGAGCAAGTCGCTCATTTTCTGGGCCTCAGCTTCCCCGCATGTGACACGGGCTGGGATGATGTCTTCCAGCGCATCAGTCAGCTCGTTCATCCATCAGTTGCTCAGATAAAGTGGAGTGTCTCCTCTCTCCTGGACACCATGTGGGGGCAGGGCTTTCAGGCGGACATTAGCGAGCCTCCCCTCTGAGGTCCTGTGCCCTATGGCTCATCCTGTTTTGCCCGTCAGGGTTGGATGGCCCAGGCCATGCTCAGCGCTGACCAGTCATCTGCTCCTGGGCTCCTTCCCTCTTCACGACACACTGGAAGGAGATAGGCAGCAGCCGTGGGCTCTCTGGGGAGCCTTGGTCCTGTCTGACTCAACAGCCAGTCTAATTAACTCCAGGTTATCCTAGATCCTTCCCTTCTCCAGGATGAGTATTCGGCTTATCCTTAATCTGTCTGCATTTGTCTTGTTTTCTCTGTCTCTGAAGTGAGGATTTGAGGACTTTGGTGGCTACCCCAGCGCTGAGAACTGGCCCACTTTGGTGCAAGGGTACTCTCCCCCTTCCTCCTCCAGCTGTGCAAACTGCACAGTCTTTTCCTAATTACACTGCCCCACTTTCAACTGCCTTGCTGCTTTGCTTACTTCTGAGCTGCTCATTATCACACTGACCTCCGGATCTTTTCTACCAAATGTTTTTGACAGTCATCTTACATTTTATGTTAATGTTTCTTTTTTAATTGAGGAAAAATTTACATAACAAAAAGTTAACAATTTCAAAGTATACAATTCACAAGTCAATCAATTCATGATGTTTTACAACTACCACCTCTATCTTGTTCCAAAATATTTTTGTCACTCCAAAAGGAGGCCTCATACCCAATAGCAGTCACTTCCCATGCCCTCCTTCCCCAGCCCCTGGCAACCACCAATCTGCTTTCTAGCTCTATGGGTTGACCAATACTGGATATTTCATAAAATAGAGTCTTACAATACGTGGACCTTGGGACTTTTGGGTCTGACTTCTTTTGCTCATGTTTTTAGGTTCACCTACGTGGTACCATGTGTCAGAACTTTGTTTCTTTTTATGGCTGAATAATATTTCATTGTGTGGATAGAACTCATCACTGGGCATTAGTCTGGTTTCCACCTTGTGACTGTTGTGAATAGTGCACTATGAATACATGTGCGTGCAGGTATTTGTTAGAGCACCTGTCTTCAGTTCTTCTTGGTGTATACTATGAAAGGGATTTTTGGCTTACATGGCAACTCAATGTTTAACTTTTGGAGGTGCCACCAACTATTTTGGCGTTTCCAACCTGAGTATTTAGAGTGTTATGCTTTGCCTTTAGTGTTCTTTAGGAAGCAAGCCACCAGCACTTGTGCTCACCCAGACTCCTCCTCGTCCTTCACATCCACATCTCCAGTTTACCAAGGTCATTTTGAATTCTCATGCCACCTCCCATAACCTGGCCACCTGCCAACTTGCTTTCCTCTGCAAACTTAATGAGCACGTTGCTTATTCTGTCATTTAAGCCACTTATGAAGTGTTAAATGCTCAGGGCCCTGGACTGATCCCCCTCGACGAGCCTGCTTGGCCCAGCATGCTTCTTGAGCTCGCAGCCTGCCTTCTGTGTGTATCCTCTGGGTCCCCAGAACCACACAGCCACAAAAGGATGGAGAATACCTGTGACGAGAAGACGGAGATCTGGAGTCCAGGGTTCTCCTGCCAGGCACAGGGCTGTGGGTGTCTCCCTTGTTGCTCTCTTGCTGGGATGGCCTGTGTTGCACCAGCAATGCTAAGGGAAGTTCATGGTCAGCTCAGGGCAAGCAGAACTCCATGCCGCAGCGGGCACTCAGATGCCAAGAAAGCACAGGGCAGAGTGAGATGTGTGGCTCGGGGTCAGAGTAGTGTGGTCCCAGATAACGAAAATACTAACTGGGAAGGCCTATGGCATGGCGTTCACAGATGGGGAATAAAATAAGCAAGAGACACACCATAGGCAAAAGAGCAAGGGCTCTGAAGAGGCAGAAGCTGGGCAGCTCAGAAGGCACTCCATGGGGCGGTGCCAGCAGACTTGGAAAGGGCAAACCTCTGTTTGAAGGGAAGGTTCTCCTCTTACCAGCACTGCCCTGAGGAACTTTCTTTTGTCTTAAAGGGACTGGACCTTCCCAGTCTGGCTCCCAGGGCAGAAGCATATTCCTTTCCTGGATAAGGACCTTCCTCATGCTGTGGGCCAGCGGTGGTTTGTCTCTCTGGTGTGAAAATGGGGCCAAAAGGATCAGGATAGGAGTGGGGAGAGACTGAACCCCCGTCAGCAAGTGATGGAAGTGGCTCTGGATACTGTGAGGACACCCAGCATTTACCCACAGCTCCATCGCCACTCACTGTGGGATCCTGGCCGAGTCTTTCTCTCTGGGCCTCTCTTTGAGTCTAATGAGAGGAAGGATGAGATGGTTTTAAAGGGCCTCTCAATCACCAGTGGTCTCCGAGCCCTCAGATGTTCCTTCCCAGAGATTTTGCCCTTCAGGTCCAGCCCTCCTGGGGTCCAATTCTTGACTAAGAACTTTTAACCCACCCAGACTTGAAGGTGGGAATAGTAAGAGCCTGTATCTCTTAAGCACTAGAGGAGAGTGTGCAGGACTCACCCCATCCCCAGGTGTGGGGACACTGTGTGGCTCTTCCTAGGCCACCAGGCACCAGCAGGTACACGAGTTGTATACAGCAGCCTCAGTTTCTGTGGCCTGTGCAGCTGATCTCAGATCTCTCTTTGCATAGGTGGGAGCCATTGGCGATGAGGAGGAATGGATCACCCTCTACGAAGAGGAGAATGAGCCTGATGCCCAGACACTGGAAATTCCAAACCTCACACCCTACACTCACTACAGGTGAGAATGGCAGTGACAAGCCACCGCAGGAGGAGAAGTGAGAAGCATCTCAAGTGGGTGACTTCTGTCATCACTAACAAGGCCCAGTTGTATGTATGTTTTCAAGGAGCAATAACAGTAAATCAAAACCTAAAGAAGTAAGCTAGGTACATAGTGGGTATTATTCCAAGGGAGCTTATACCCAGGTGGTAGACTAGTGATGATCTTTCCACCAATACAAGCCAGCAAAATATCCTGTAGGAATGGCTCACTGTTATATCAGGCATAGTAGCCAAGCCCACAGGCAGTGGAGATGTGGCACTTTTCTTTATAAAACTCTATGACCTCTTGGGACTATTAACATGCTGTGTGCAAACAAAGCAGATGCTAGGAATACCCTTCTGCTCCCCTTCTCAGGGCCCAGGAGCTGCTAGTCTCACTAATCAAGCACTTAACATGCTATTTAACCTTTCGCTTCTTGATCCTGAAACTGATCCAGGCAGTAAATCCTTGGCCTTAACAAAGGGTAGAGTGATCATGAGCTGTTAGCGACATTATAACTTCCCGTAAGATCATTGAAGGAGATGAAATTTCCAGTTATCACCAGATGTTGAGTTTGATAATGTCATTGTCCTGCCAGGACGGATACATTTCATAAGATTGGAGAATGAAAGAATAAGAATTACTAATTCAGGGAGTAAAAGGTGAAATTACATCTTTGTAAAGAATATCTTTTTAGTGCAAGAACAAAGTTAGAACCTAATGAGAGATGCTGTTTGGCTTCCATTCACTTTAACATCCTTCCTAAGATTAGAGCAGACAAATCAAGACACAATACACTGGTTTTTAAAGAAAAACGTTTAGCTTAAAATGAACTGTTGGGATTCAAGACTTACCATGTGAAATTATCTGAAGCTATATAATTATTTCAAAGATCAGAAACTGTAATTAGAGATCAATGTCCCTTGTCTTAAATTCAAATGCATTAAGGGAACCATAATACTAAATGTGTGTGTGTATGTGAGTGTGTGTGTGTGTGTGTGTGTGTGTGTATGTGAGTGTGTGTGTGTGTGTGTGTGTGTGTGTGTGTGTGTGTGTGTGTACGTTTGGGATTTTTTCTTGTATGTTAATTCAATTCAGATAATTATATATATTAATAAAGAAGAGATAGAACTGAAAGTATCACCATATACTTTAAAGAGCAACTGACTCCACCCTCATTTTATAGTTAAACAAATGAAGATGAGTGTGATTTGCCAAAGGTTTCACAGTTACTATCTGATTGGAAATCCTGGGTGTGGATTCTGAGGCCATGACTCTTCTCCTGAACCAACAGAAAATGAGTTGCAGGGGTGCCCTTGGTCATCAACAGGGCTAGACTTTCAAAACTATGTCATTTGGCAGCAACATTCTGACACTCCAATTCTGTTGAATAGCGACTTAAACTTTAATCCCCTGATGTTACCCCAAACTTGAATCAGCTGATGACATAGATTTTTGGTCATCTAACCTACCCAATTATATTTCATTTGGGAACTTAAAATTGTTGAGTTGCAGTACATTTACTGTTCTTTGAAGGCTTTTAGGATAAAAGACTATACATGCAATTTACACTTTTAATGAAATCAGGTAGGAAGAGGGTGTCCTCCAGCAATGGTACAAGTAGACACGGATCTGAGCCATTCTCTGAGGCACAGTCAGGGGTTTTTGTGGTTTTGTTTTTTCTTTATAACTTTTTGCTATAGAATAATTCTTACCAATGGTTTTACCTTTAGATTTCGAATGAAACAAGTGAACATTGTTGGTCCGAGCCCCTACAGTCAGTCTTCCCGGGTTATCCAGACCCTGCAGGCCCCGCCTGATGTGTCTCCAACCAGCATCACTGTCCGAACTGCCAGTGAGACCAGCCTGCGGCTCCGCTGGGTGGTGAGTGGGATGAGAAGGGGAGGCCAGAGTGACAGGAGTCCCTAGGTGGCCGCGGCAGACTCATGAATCCAGAGCTTAGGAGTTTCTTAGTTACACCTTTGTCCTAGCCAAAACTAATCTCATCATTAAACCCACAAGTATTACATTTTACAATTAGTGCTGGATCTCAGACCAGCCCAGGATGTCTGATTAATTAGTAGCATTATTCACTCTCTCCTTGGAACGGAGGAGTATTCCTTGGAGGAAGAGAGCTGGTGGTATTACATGCTGGACCTGTAAGTCCTTAAGCTAGGTCCATATAGAACCAATACTCAGTATTTGTAGGAGAGCCAGCCTGATATTTAATCAGAATATTTCCCCATGAAATTAAGCCAAAATGTATTAAAAATAAACTGTATCCAGCCAAAGTTTAATTTGATTAACAGAGAAAAGTTTCATTTGATTAACAGAGAAAAGTTTCAGGGAAAAATAGAGTAGAAGTTTCTAAGAATAGTCTTTCAAGAAAGCATCTTCCATGGAACTGACCTTATAAGACAGGTCCGTCCTTTGAGACATCTGAAGATGACAGTTCTGAGATGTCAGTTCATCTTGGACCCTTGTTCACTTCCAGCCCCTGCCTGATTCCCAGTACAACGGGAACCCCGAGTCCGTGGGCTACAGGATTAAGTATTGGCGCTCAGACCTCCAGTCCTCAGTGCTGGCCCAAGTCGTCAGCGACCGGCTGGAGAGGGAATTCACCATCGAGGAGCTGGAGGAATGGACGGAGTACGAGCTGCAAATGCAGGCCTTCAATGCCGTGGGGGCTGGGCCGTGGAGCGAGGTGGTACGGGGCCGGACACGAGAGTCAGGTGAGACCAGGGTGATTCCAGACTTGGCCCTCCACACATCTCATTGGAGATGGGGCTTGGTGACCCCAGTTTCCAAATACCAGGTTGATGGCTTCTCGTTGGTCCTTCTTATGTCAGTTGGCACTTTCCTAACCCAGTGGTTAGGCCAACCTCGGCAGGAATTTCAGGGAAACTTTGGCTCATTAGGGCCCCAAACTATTGATTTGAAGTTGATGATGACTTCTCCCAGAGGTTGCACTGACATTATTATTTCTTAAATTAGGGATAATTTTCACAATCAATGATGAAAAGCAAGAGTATGTAAAGATCCTGTGGGGAATCTTTAAAATACGAAGTGTTCAGGGCCTCCTCTTCACAAATTAATATGAGTAGAGTGTTAAGTAGTTTAGCTTGTGATAACAAACAGGCCTCCCAAAGTTAAATTGCTTTAACACAGTGGAAGTTTATTCCTCATTCGTCTCACTCATATTGTAGTCTAAAGTGGATGTTCCTGTTTGGTGGGTGGCTCTCTTCCACAAAGTGATTCAAGGACCCAGGGCCTGTTGGCGTGGCTGGAGGTGGCTTTGGGAGGTGCCATCCTCAGGACAGAGGAGTTTAAGAGAGAAGATAGAAGGACACCTATGAGCCCCATGGCTTCCAGCACTGTCCTGCCTGCTCCCAAGAAGAAGAGAAGCACAGGAGACCTGGGAGGCAATGCCAAGATGGGCAGCACAGCCAGATGAGGAAGCAGAGCAGCCTTGAGCAATAAGGAAAGGAAAATCCTTAGAGCCCTGGTGGGCAGCCCTGGCCCCTCAGTTTCTCCTAGTACTCATCTGTTCATGCCAACTGGGTGCTACATGTACTGCATGGGTGCAGGTGTCAAGAAACGCTGCCCCTCAGCCCGCACGTCTGCACCCCAGGAATGGGCTCAGCAGCACATAGCATGCTGAGGGCACCCACATGTGTCCAGTGCATCAGCAGATGCCGTCTGCTCTGTGGGCTACACATGGAAGGGCATAGGAAACACCCAGTAAAGGCTTCTCTTCTCACCCTCCTTTGCTCATTCCCCAGCTCCCACCAGTGATAGACCCCAGATGTGTCTGAACCTGTCACTGCCATAGTAAGTTATTGTAATGCGCAGATAGGTTACATTGCACGTAAGGCTCCTAGGATTTACCTTGATTTTCATCCACTTGCAGTCACAGACTCCAAGGAAAAGTTCTAACACAGGTTTGTGACTATTTCTTCCTAACCTTCTTCTGGGAGGGAGGTTAGGAGGGCAGATTGGAGAACTCTTAAGCAATAACAGGAGATATAGAATCATTGTCATGTGGGACTGCTCTTAGTGCATGGCATGAACCCTGGAACTCACTAATGAGAACCCTGAAGAGCAGGCCCAGTGACAACCATCAAGCTTCTGAGAGGACAGTTTTTAAAGAGGGATTTTCCAGAGCAGCCAGGGCTGTACTACATCTTCTCCAGCTTTTTTTTTTTTCCAGACTGTAAATATTATTATGTGAGAAAGGAAAGGTTGGGACACACTGGTACCTGGCTTGTGAGTGTGATTACATGAACTTTAAAAACTTCTAGTATCAGCTGGGCTCCGTGGCTCAGCCTGTAATCCCGCGCCTTGGGAGGCTGAGGTGAGTAGATTGCCTGAGCCCGCAGGTTCGAGACCCACCTGGGCAACTTGGCGAGACCTCATCTCTACAATAAATAAAAAAATCAGCCGGGCATGGTAGCGCATGCCTGTAATTCCGGCTACTCAGAAGGCTGAGGCGGAAGGATCACCGGAGCCCAGCAGGTCAAGGCTGCAGTGGCCAGGAACGGCCACTGCACTCCAGTCTGGGCGACAGATTGAGACTCCAAAAAAAAAAAAAAAAAGCTCTAGTATCTTCAACATCTGAACCTTTGTAACAAAGAAGAGAACTTGAGAAACTCTAAGGGACAAACAGTTCTAAATCCAGTAATAGGCAGGACAATAAAATATTTTTTAGAAAGCAAAACTTATGCAATAACCAACTGTAAAATTGTGGATACTATAGGGAAACCCCAAGATGTCAGAGGCATAAAAGGAGCTGAAAAATATTCCACAGTAAATGCTGAGTTAGTGCCACAGTGGCCCGGGTTAGGACTAGATCTATCCTGGTAGTTTTGGGACTTAAAATTTGACAGCCATGAAGGAACAGGAGAGTCGGCCTTGAATCTACAGAAGTTGGGAGCCAGGATCTCAACTTCTGCATGAATGCAAGGCTCTTGGAGGCTATGCCCTCTTCTGTATGAGAGAACAAAAATATCTGCCCATAGAAGTTTGTGTCCACCAGGATTCTGAATGGGGAAGAAAAGTAACTATGAGTATGAGTCTTGTGCCTGAGTCAGATTTGGGTTTTGAAATTACATTATACAAATGACCCCAGAAACTCCTAGCAGAGACATTGATGTAAAATTTGGTTCCAGAAACCAAAAGCACAAGCAACTAAAGGAAAAGGAGATGAATTGGACCTCATCAGAATGCAAACTTTTATGCTTCAAAGGATATCATAAATAAATGAAAAACTCCCAAATGGAAGAAAATATTTGCAAATTATGTATTTCACAATCACAAGGGACTTGTGTCTAGAATATATGAAGACCTCTTACATCTTTACAACAAAAAGACAAATGATCCAATTAAAACTGGGCAAAGAATCTGAATAGACATTTCTCCAAAGGAAATACACAAATGGTCAATAAGCACATGAAAATATGCTCAACATCACTAGCCATTAGGGAAATGCAAATCAAGACCATAATGAGATATCACTTCACACCCCTAAGATGGCTAAAATTAAAAAAAAAAAGATGGACGATAACAAGTATTGGTGAAGAGAGAGAAATTGGGACCCTTTGCTGGTGGGAATGTAAAATGATGCAGCAACTTTGGAAAACAGTTGGCATTCCTCAAAAGGTGAAACATAGAGTTACTATGTAATAGAGCAGTAACTTAAGAGAATGAAAAACATATGTCTACACAAAACGTATACATGAATGTTCAGAGCAGCATTATTCATAATAGCCAAAAAGTGGAAACAACCCAGATGTCCATTGGTTGACGAATGCATAAATAAAATGTGGTGTATCCATGCAATGAATGATTCAGCAATAAAAAGGAATGGAATTCTGATACATGCTAAAATGTGGAAGATCCTTGAAAACATTATGCTAAGTAAAAGAAACCAGATACAAAAAACCACATATTGAACAATTCCATTTATATGAAATGTCTAGAATGGGCAAGTCCATAGAGACAGAAAGTATATTGATGGTTGCCGAGGCTTGGGTAGAGAGTTTGAGAGGAATGGGGTGTGATTGGTCATGGGACAGGCTTCTTTTGGAGTAATGAAATATTCTAAAGTTCGTTGTCATTGATGGTTGTACAACTCTGAATTGTATACTTTAGAGGAATTGTATGATATATAAATTATATCACAACAAAGCTGTTTTCTTTAAAAAAAAAAAGCTCAACCTTCCCTGGATTAATTTTATACAGATAACATGTTATTAAAATAAGTATGGTTCATAATTGTATACTTTGCATGTGGTTGGAAGGCCTTGAAGATTATCCTTACTACCTGTAATATCTTCTTACCCTCAGATAAAATCAACTCCATTTGAAATGATTACATATTATACCCCAATAAAGGATTTTACTCTCCTCCCAAAACAAAACAAAATTTTAAAAAATACCACAAATCAAAAGAAATATTGTTTCAGGCCGGACTTTCTGGACAACCAAAATAATAAAAAATGACTCTTATTATTATTGCCCGAGTCAAACTATCTCAAATAAAAACAAAGCCCCTTTAGAAGTGAATCTCAATTATCAAACAATCAAGGCAGTAAACTGCCATTAGTAAAAATGAGCAGTTTAAAAAAAGAGAGCACCCTGATTGCATTAAAATATATACTAGTCTGAAAGATATTATATAATAATACATTTAAAATTATTAAAGTCTTAGTAAAATAAAGCATTAAAACTTTAAGATTAAGATACCATTTTTTTAAAGCAACCCCTTTTTTTTTTTTTTTAAGAACCATATAGGACACAGTCATTGAGAATAAAACTCTCTGGTTAAACTAAAAAAGTAGTTTAAACACTGCCAAAAAGAGAATTAGTAAACTAAAAACTAGAGCTGAGTAAATAACTCAAAATACAGCACAAAGACATATGATTGGAAATTCGGCAGAGCAATTAAAAGACATGAAGAATGAGAAGATCTAACAAAAGTATAATAGCACTCAGAGGGAATGAGGGAGACCATGAGGGCAAGGAAATAGAGATCATGGCAGAAGCACAAATCCTGAGCAGAATAAATCCACACCAAAATGCATTCAGTATGACTGCAAAATACAAAGCCAAAGAGAAAACCTTAAAAATAGTTGGAGTGAAAGGCAGACAACCCATGAAGCTAAAACAGTTTGACTGAGGTGACTATTTAAGAACAATAGAAGCCAGAAGATAATAGAATAATGATCTTGAAGGAGCTAACTATCAACTTCAAATTTTACTCCCAACTAAGCTAATTTTCAAGGATTTTATTCAGAAAACAACAAACTAAATGTTATATAAAAAGGAAGAAAATATAATCAAAATGGAGATATTGTTTTGGTAATTTTTCAAAGAACTCTCTTTAAAAACAAAGTGGAAGCAAAATGAAAAAATTGCTTAATTGAGACTCTGTTTTCGTACACAACTTTCCAGTTGTTGAAAACCTATGATTACAGTAGTCAAGAGAATGCAGAGGATAATACTTTATATGTAAACTCACTCCAGGTTTTTTTCTTCTGATATGTTCTCTTAAATCTGTGCCATCTCTGAGGAGACTTTCTTGAGCAATGTTGTTTATTTTTGTGGGGACTGCTATGTTTTAATTAACATTAGGATATAGTTTTTGTCTCAAAAGAAGCATAATGGATTTATCTCTGTCCTAGCTGATTGTATCATGTATAGCTAGAGGGGAATTATGTATGTGCCATCGATT